ACTCCGTCTCTGTATGCCCAAACACTACTTCAACGATTTAAAGGGGGGTGGAATGTGGTTTCTCCTCGGCTACATGCTAGTCTTCTCAGGAACCCTCATATACCCCTTCTACAGCATCCTCCTCCTAACCCAACCCCCTGGTCTCTTCTTCCCTGACACAGCAACTTACAGTCTCCTCGCTATGTTAAGCGTTGCCGCTATCTCAGGCTCTGCAGCGGCAAACATACATGTTCTGAGACGAATTGGGGCGGTGAACATGTTTGTTGCTGCGGCGGTGCTGGGGGGTGCGGTTTGTCTTGCGCCTGTGCTATATCCGGGACTCGTTGTTGTTATTCCACTAGCGGCGTTGTATGGAACTGCGCTTGGGGTGGTGTTTTCGCTGCATATGGTTGTTGTGGCGTCGTTTCTTAGTGGGAAGGTGGATGGGAGGTGGGAGGATGATATGCCCGCACGGGTTGCTGTTGGTATGGCGTTGGCGGGATTGAGTGCTTTTGGTGGGGTTGTTGGGGCTGCGGCGTTGATTGAGGGGAGTGAGCGGGGTGGGCAGATTGCGATGAAAGTGGCGGGTGCTTGTATGGTTGGTGGTGGTGTGTTGGTTGGGTGCGCGAGGTTGTGGCGGTGGAAGGTGATGTTCTATGCCGTCTAATACGTTTACTGCGTATCTGAGAGCTCTCATGCAGCGACAGGCGAACTGATGATGGTCTTACTGGTTTCATGTCTAATTACTAATTATTTTCTATATACAGTCGCATACATGCGTGTCATAACGGTCATTCAAGCTTATACGTAGATGTAGCAGAAAGGTCCCTCAGTCGTGCTCATCAGATCCTCCATCCTCTCTGTGCCATCCGCAGCATAGCCAAGGTTGATAGTCGTGTCAAAGGTCGTGTTGGCCGAGGGAGGCATGTTCAAGAATGTGCCAGTACCCGAGATACCGCCAGCCTCGCTCGTGCGCTTCTTGCGGTCAAGCTGCTGCCAGATCCACCAAGTCCTGTCAATCTGAGCGTGGTGGAGGTAGAAGAGCGGGTCACCGGGCGAGACGAAGAAGTCACGTCCGGGGTCACCGCCCATAGAGTAGTGACCACCGCCGTGGACACCCAGACTGTCTGTTCCTGGCACACCCTGCATGACCATCTCGAATTGCCAAATGTCCTTCTTGTTGATGATGAGGTCGGCGATGGCGGTCGCGTTGGCCCACTTCTTGTTGCTGTAGTCGGTCAAGTCGCGTGTCAGACATCTGGGGTTGTAAGAGAGGCCGTCGCCGTTTGCGATCTCGGTTCCGTTAGTCGTGCTCAGAGCGACTGGGCCAAGGTTGACCTCTGGAATGATTGTTAGTACCTGAATGAACGTCTCGTGTATATATTGATAACTTACTCATGTCCTTGAATGGGCCGCTCGTTACACAGCCACCACCGGTACCGGCGGGGATGTAGATGTATGGTTCGCCCCTGCCTGCGATGACAACTTGTCCCTGGCCGGGAATGAACTTTCCATTGCCGGACATGGAAGAGGCAGATCCGTCGAGCATAGCCGACTTCTCGAGACCGCTAGCAGCAGTCTTGGCCCAGTCCCAGTAGGGCTGGGTGCCCTTGTAGCCGCACTCGTTCTTGAGAGCTTGCTCGTACTGCCAGGTGAAGTACCTGTGCCACGCCAGGAAGGTACCAGTGTAGTGGATCTCCATGGTCTTCAGGATGTGGTTGCCAACAAAGTCATCGAAGCGAGACTTTGCTCCTGGGATGAGTGAAGCAGGCGTATTGGCCTTCTTCTTTTGGAGGCAGAGTACGGCATCGGTGTAGGCTTTGCGTTCCGGCTTCGTCAGGGCGCTCCATTCTTTGCGTACCGACACATTGTTCCATGTGCAAGCGGCTCGCTTTGACGAAGTTGCTGCCAGTGCTTCCTCGACTTGTTGCTGAGCGAACAGAGCCAATTGCTCAAGTTGTTCGCTAGCGACAGATGGATCGCTCGAGGGAGCAGTTGGTAGCGAAGAGGGGTCTATCGGCGCATCTTGTGGAGCTGGTAGCGCGTGTGATAGAGTTCCAGCGAGCAGGGCCAGTGCGATGGGGGAGTTGAAACGCATATTGTCTGTTGACCAATGGAACTGATGGATCAGGAAGTGGCTTGTTTAGCAGAGGAAGCTGAGTGCTGGTGAGCAAAGAAAAACGTGCAGCTCCCATACATATACCTCGAAGAGATGACCATACACCGCTACCGGTTGAGCTTACCATGCTCACTGCCGGGGTTGGTGGCGAGCACATGCCGAAGCCACCACGACCTTGCTGGAACAGTGCTGTACACCGCATCTAGTCTTGCTATCTCCGTCTGCTGGCGAAGAATTGGAGCAAGGCAAGGCGATGCCACGTGTGGGGCCAATAATTTTTCGGTGCCTGGAGCCTGTGCCTACCCATCTCCGACTATACTCATGCCCTGAGCGCAAGGACCCTGAGGCTAGATTGGCGGGCTACCTATGAACCGGGTCGTATCCTCAAGCGAGTCCATACGGAGAGCCATCGTTCGGCGACATGTGCATAGCAAGATCGGAAGTAGCTTGCCGGACAACTCATATGGCGCCGATGTACCCATAGTGTCATGTCAAGGCTGCCCGGTCTTCGGATGGCCATGGGCCTAGCGTCGTTTGGATAAAGACGACCCAGAGTTGATGCGCGGGAACATGATGGGCGCGCAGCATTCTGAATCATGCCGGCTGCGAGTAATGTATGAGCTCCGCAATCGTTAGTTACCCATACAACAGGTACTTCGACAACTCTACCTCGGTCATGTCCGTAAATCTATCTCTTCATGCCGAGAATGCCCTGATACCAGTCTGTTCCACGTCTGCAGGTCATCACGTCCGAGACCTGCATAATGAGCCGCGACCCGCCCACGTGCAGGAGAGGAAATATTCATCCTGGCGGCAAGCCATGTGGTTTGCGAAAATTCCCTGAAAAGTGTACTGATCCTCCCATGATTCAGGAGCCTGCATCGGGCCTGGTGGCTCGGATATCGTGCGTGTTAGGTGAAGACTGCTAAGCATTCTATGCCGCTGCACATTGGTGGCGCAATCATGCCATGGCGCTAGGCCACGCTAAGGGATGAGATCCGTCTTGCCGACTCCCCGTCCCGCTTCCTCCACTCCATATTCACACCGAGCGCAAGGTCAGTGAGGCCTCCAGTGCCTCCAAGCTACCGGTTAATCTCGATTGCGAATCTAACGTGCAGCCGCACGGGAGGCCCCATTCTGGCGCGGTCATTGGCTTACACGCCACCTTTCGAGTCTCTGGAAGCGTGCCGTCTGTTACGACCTTCCTTACAAGGTGCCTGGAAGCGACAAGCGCAGCAGATATTAGCCGATCTCTCAGCTTTCTTCAGTCCTGCCTCGGTTTTCAGTAGATGTACTGCTATATGGTGTCAGCATGTTCTCCAGCTTACCGGCAGACGACGTGTCCAAGCACAGCCTACGCGGCCCGGGGGATCTGCTCACGTCTACTTTCCCGCAACGGCCCTTCTCTCCATGGCATGATACCACCTATGTCCTCAATCTGATCTGCCGACTCCTCTCTTCTCCTGTCAATGCTCGGTTGTACTCCGTATTGACGAAATCACTCTCCACTGGCCCGTGCTCTTGACTAGCACAGTGCAGTGGGTTTAGTTTCGAAGATGTGCAGTAAACGGTATGACATGCAGCTTCTAGCTCTTCATCACTCGCTTTAACGATTTCTAGAGTGAGGTTCATGCGGCACTTTGGATACTCACTCGCTGCCTTACCTTGGCAGCTTCATACCCACGTGGCCGGTAGCTCAGTTACGCATCTTTGTCTGCTTTTTGCGGGTAGGTTCAATAATCTTCACTAACTGGTAGCACGAAGGACATCTCCAATGGCCATTCAACTCATGAACTACTGTCAGAACGTGCCGCTACACTGGGCGTTCAGCCACAGCTCAGTGCCGTCGCCAGTGCCGTCGCAACTCCCGAGGTTCTTTAGGACCGCACTTAGATTACCCTACCAGCGCCGTGCCCGAGACCCTGCACTTGAGACTCTGCGTCTGCAGGGGTAATCTTGGATCAAGGGATACTATTTCCTGCCCCGTCAGTCTGCCACGCAAAGACCCATACTTTCGTCTCGAATCAGCTGTCCACAGCCACCATTCCTTCCAGGTGTAGCGAGGCTAGTCCAGACGATTTCTCGCCAGCACATGTCGTTATGGCTCGGTACCAGATTCGATGAGCCCGACCTCTTGCGCCGCGTGATGGATCGCAGATGCCAGAAAACAAGGTTCGCGTTAACTGTATTCTCTCCGTCCTTCCGTGTGGCGGTTTAAGGTCTTGCAGACAGGAGCTGCTGGTCTCAAGACGTACGCCATGTGAAACCCCTGACGTCGTCGCGAACTCCCGCTCGCTGGTATTATATTGCATATAGTGCAAGCATCTTGCTTGAACTTCGAAAAACTTGCGTGATCCGGAATCCTTCACCTTCAATTGACGTGCTTTCCACAATGCAGCAAAGCGGCGCAGCCATGCCACCAATGCGACCCTACGAAGATCAGGGTCCTACCATCCTCGCGAGCACGCTAACCGTCACCGTCGTGGCCGTGCTCACGACAATTGCGAGGTTCTATGTCCGAGTTAAGATGATCAGGAATGTTGGTTGGGACGTGAGTACTCCGCTGGCAAGGCATGGGTGAACAACACTGACTTGTGCGATCAGGACTATGTGATGCTGTTGGCTATGACATTAGTATGAAACGACTGTTCTTGGGATACTGTACACTGCTAACACTCTGCAGTGCATTGCTGGTCAATGCCTTGTTATACCACAGGTTCACATGGGGGCAGGAAAACACATCGACTACATCAAAAAGGACGACTTCGTAGCCGCTCTGAGGTTGAACCTCATTTCGCAGCCGATCTTCCTGTTCGCCATATGTTTCGTCAAGGTCTCTGTGGGGTTCTTTCTCCTTCGGATTGCGGTCGGACGGTTATACAGGCGCTTGATTATCGGCATCATGAGTGGGTGCATAACTCTCTGATAGCAATATGCGAAGCTAACCAGTCCTAGTATTCATGACGGTTTACACCATCGGCTGCGCCCTTACAGTGGTCACGCAATGCCAACCCCTCAGTCTCATGTGGGATCAAAGCGCCAAAGGCACATGCTGGACCATCCAGACGAGACAAGCCCTGGGCTTCCTGAATATCGTGCTGAACATCATCACCGATATTGCCTTCTCAGTGGGCATACCTGCAAGTGCTTCCAGATCGTGACTACTGCATTGACTATGCTAACACATCCATGTAGATTCCTATGCTGTGGGGCGTCCAAATGAACCGCCGTCACAAAGCGTCCCTCATCTGCATCCTCGGCCTTGGTACATTCGCTACAGTCGCCGCTTTGGTCAAACTATCCTACCTTCCTCATTACGGGCGGGAAGGCGACCTTCTCTGGGACTCGCGCGACATGACCATCTGGACCGTCGTCGAATGCAACGTCGGTATCGTCGCCGGCAACCTCCCCTGCCTCAAACCGCTTTTCCGATCCATCCTCGTATCCACATACGGCAGCGGCTCCCGCAAGAACTCCCAACCGCGATATTTCTCAGACGCATACGGAAAAGGTACAAAGCAGCGCTCTGCGGTCAAAAGCTACGGTCCTCTTGCATCGAACAAGACATCAGAAGGCGAGTATGCAGGTCATAGCGCTGCTGGCAAGTCATACATGCTCACGACAATCGATGCGACGAACAAGCACGCTGGAGATTTAAGCAGGAGTCCATCCGGAGGAAGCTCGACAAGCGGGGAACGAGGAAGCACGGAGAGCGATACGAGGCTGCACAACAAAGCACATGGAAGCGGTGGAATGGGCAACATCACTGTGACGACAAAGGTAGATGTGACTGAGTCGATGCATTCAAACGACATCTACGAGAGCGGGAGGACGTATCAGAGACCACAAGCGAAGGAGATGGTATGAAGTAAGAGCGAAGTTTGATGGTGATGGTAATGTCTTTCTTATGTTTCTCTCTCTCTGTCTCTGTCTCGTCTAATGTATACCCCATCTCTCATCTAATGGCTCACACTAATAAAGATTATGTATCCAATTCCATCTGTGTATCACGCTTCCTTCTCACACGCCCAGCCAATCTCTTCCGTCGATGGCAGCATCACTCGGTGCTGTCTTCGTTCGACGCAGTATGGTGATTGGCAGGCCCACCGTCTCCGACGCGATACTCTTCCGCCAAAATTTCAAACTGCTCAAGATAATGAAATGCGGTAATGCAATGGTGCCTTGCGGCTTCTCTCTCTAGCTCCCTTTTCGGGGCAGTGTATATAACTGCAATCTCGACAAATGTCGGACGCGATGCAAAAATGACAAAGGAAAATTTCTGGAACAGCTCAAGTAGAGCACAGTGGTGTTTGAATAAGGGTATCGAACTTCGCGCAGCTCAACCGAAAAGGCTGCGTGTGCTCCTGCGGTACGTGAAGAGCAATGGTGCGGAGCAGTTCATCCGGTAGCGATAGTAACCTGGACTCACGGTTCTTGGTTTTGTTTGATTTCGGCGAAGCCTTCAGCGTAGCTTCGGGCGCAATCTCGCCGATCTGGTCTTCAAACGAGATATCAGCCTGAGAGTCGCGCATGCACCACGTCTCACGCCACATAGCGGAGATGTGCTGGCGTTCTTCGCGGGACGCGCTGTCTTCATCTTCTGGCTGCTCTTGGATGACGTGGATCTTCTTCTCGTCGTCGCTGTCGGAGTCAGACGATTCTTCCAGCGAAGAGGCGGATATCTTGCGGAAGCGGTGCACGTCTGCGTCCATGGGCCGGTCGAGCCAGTCGTCCATCTCCTCATCGGACATCTCGCTGCGGGTGCTTCTTGAGGAGCTCCAGGAGTAGCTGCTTTGCGGTGTTTGGGGAGGGGAGATCGGTGGACTGAGGGTGGACTCGTAGGTTGCTTGCTTCCAGTGCACGTAGCCTTGCATGCCTTGGATGAATTCCTTGCTGGGCTTACGGTCCATGGGCATTAGGAATTGCTGGATGGGGAAGAAGCTGCCTTCGACGGGGGAGATTGGCGGGGATAGAAATCCGCTGGAGATTGGTGTCTCGAGGTCGAATTCAGTGCATCGGGTCGTGTCCTGGGAGCTTTCCCGATCTGACTCCGGCACTGATGTGAGCGATGTTGTCGATGAAGCCCGCGTGCGTTCTGCTGATTGCTTGACCGAAAGCACCGGGTCCTCTTTCAACGACCGCATGTGCGAAAGGAGCTGGTCGTGAGTTTCGTTCAGCCGTTGGAAGAACGACTTCTTCTGTCGCAGGACATGGGGACGAAGGTCGTCGTACGGCACGCCAATGGTAGTCGACATCCTGGCAGCGAGCGATTGATTTCGATTGAGTTCGATTCCTGGGTCCGAAGAGAGTTCAATGTTTCAGGAGGTGTTCGCGCGAGGATGTTTATGTTGATAGGGGCATGCTAGTTGCTTTTTTGCGATTGTTGTTGTTGTGTTGACCACGGGCGCCACGGGATACAAATACAGCTGAAACTGGGAAACACAGCTGCGCGTCCCTCCGGCCCCGCTAACAGTCGCAAAGCAAGGCGGGGCGATCTTCGTAATACGCCAGAAAAACGGTTGATCCATGCAGAGCCGTTCGGTCAATAGTCCAGCGACTGTCCGGCAAAGCGCCTCATTGGCTCAATGCTGCTGAGGCGGGGCGATGTTGTGGTTCGGACTCGCATCCGATGACCTCAGAAAGACGAGGACCGGGGTGTGTTTTTCGCCTATGCCTTAGCTACATGCACACCAAAGAACAACAGTCTGGTTCACCATTCAGAAAGCCGTTGGACTGCATATTGCAGATGTCAGTGAACTCCGTCCATGCTCGAACGTTTCCATAGAGACAGCTGCGATGCTCGTCACTTCACGACAGAACCCATCAGTACCCAAGGCATCCCATGTGATGCGAAACATGATCGCTGGGATGTGTCGGAGAATAATGTGGAGTAAGTCATTAGCGAGCAGGTCCAGAACACACTCCCACCACGATCCGATGACATGTGCTCAATTTCCCAGAGCGCTCGCGTTAAAGCCGTTGGTAATGAGGCGCCTTGGGCTGTTGAGGCTTGCCAAACAAAGCGACGTAAACCGGTCCGAAACTCTAAAATCCAGCAACAGCTTTTTGACACTTTGGATTTCGCACCGTATTTTCCAAGTTTCCCATTACTTTCCGTCTGTGCTCCCACGTTTCGTCTGCATTACGCAGCTGCCGAGGACCCCACGGAGTCTTGTCCTTGCATGAACGATGCGGGTCGCGGACGTGGACCAGACGTCATGTGAAAGTCGTCTTTATTGCCAGATAGGAGGTACTTCGCAAGTCGTATATTGAGAGCTCATCCAGCAGCCCAAGGTCTGGTCCGTGAAGCAAAGTCATCATTGAAATCCAGCATCTACCTGCTTGTTGAATATGCGCACAGCAAGCTGATGAACTTTGATGACAGACTCGAAATTTTCGACCGTGGTTCGGTGCATGTCAGTAGCACTAGCCGGCCGGTGCCCAAACGCGATATCCCAAAGGAGTTAGGCTCCTCCTGGCGACGTTCGTGCCCAAGAAGTTTGGACGCGTTACGGGGCGAACACAACGCTCTCTGACCACCGCCTTATAATTTGCACGATGCGATCGCAACCTCAGTCTGTGCATCTGGTTTCCCAGACAGGGCCACGCAGATCGCATCCCAGCCTTGAAATCAAAAAGAAGGGGTGAAGACCACGCATTGCCCAGTGACAGCCCAAAATTGGTACCCAGTCCTTGGCGCAAAACCGTTGTGCTGGTTGCTGCAGTTCCCAGGCCCTAACTAGCGAGCGCGGCACCGGCAATCAGCACTAAACGACTAAGATTCCGTTGGAAACCGAGGCAATTGGCTCGGTACTTCACGTCAGCATGTGCGGCAGTGGGAGCGGCCTTCATTCGCTGCGCGTCTTCAGTTCGGAATTCCGTACACTTTAAACTGTTGGATTTCCTCCTATCTATCACAACTTCACATGCGCCATCAACCCTCCTCTCCGAGCGTCTGTCCGATAAGATTCGGGAGATCCGAGCACGCAACATAGACACGCAATGCGGACAAAGAGGAGGGCCGTGGTGCTCGAGGCGAGCGGGGAAGCCCACGTCTTCCGGTGCGCAGGGGGCAAAAATAGTAAATGACGGGTGTGCGGAGAGGAGAAAATGACGATGTGCGGTTCTGGACTTTGTGATCGTAGCAGGGTTGTGTATCAGAAACTTTCTCCTTGCAGGACAATTTTTCTTACGGGCAGAGTTTGCGCGTTGGACTTGCATGCTGTTCTCGTAATGGAGTGCGGAGGAAAGCACGCATCGAGTGTTCGGTTTTGAAGCAAGTCTCTCGTTGCGATCTTTGCGTTCGAGAGTACACTGGTATTTGGGATGGTTGAGTGATGCGGCAATCGTGTGCGCCTCGTCGCTGTGTCGTCGCAGTACCAGTGGATGAGGAAGTTCACAGTCAATCGTGCATATTCTCCTCGCGAGTCGCGGGACTGCAATCGCGAAGGACACTTGCCAGGTGTATATAATCTGCCGCCTGTTGCTCATCTTTGTGACGTTTCGTTGGCGAGTCGCGCACGACGGACAAGATCATCCAATGGTGGCCATTGAGGCACTCTGTCCTCCCAGTGAACCCAGCACTGCACGCTTCAACGGTACATTCTGTATCGTGGAGCCTTTCCCCGTATGATCTGGGTAATTGTTAGTTATCTTCGCTTTCCAACGTACAGGCCCAGCACATTTTACATCCGCGGGCGATCGAATGAGATTGGGATACGTACCGGCTTTCGCACACAGTCGTGCAGCGCGGCGAGTGCGCGTATATACAGAGAGGGAGAATTATACAAGGCATGCTCTCTTCCCGCTTTTTCAGCCTCGACGTCTTCACAACTAGAGAAATCTCCACATCAACTTCATCTGGTGTAATGGCGGAGCCCACGACAGCACGCACCGCATCATGGAGGAACGTCAAGACTGTCGGCTGTCGATCTTGAATTTTGGCCGACGGCGTGAACAGTCCGTTCGTCTGGTGAATGGAGTGGCAGGAAACTCCTCCAGCTATCGAGTGACGATGCGAGCAGCGCTCCGCAACATAAGCCAATAGGCCAACGCACGGGAATCCGGGTGTATATATAGGAGCGACGCGCAGAGTAAACCGCGATTCGAGTATTTGTTCGCGAGACATGTCATCGTGCGCCGTTTCACTTTCTCGCACGGTATACATCGAGTTGCACGGAGAAACCGCGCTCAGCTCAGGAAACCTATTGTCATCAGCTCAGTCGTCTTTCTGGAACAGAAGAGCTTACGGACCCTCGATGAGGGCTCCACGGCGCAACCACCTGGATGCTAGGATGCCATACAAATGACACTGGCCCGGTTACATCAGGGTTGTCGGACTAGATTGTCTCACAACGAAGGTCTGGGAGTGCCGATCGGAATTGCATGGCACAATTCTGGTCGTGGCGGTATATATTTATATATATAAGATTGCAGGTAGTGTCGACAGAAGTCATGGGTTTCGTAGCAGTAGTCGACAAAACTAGCTGCGCAGAACTCGTCTTGCAACCATTATGTCTGGATGTATATAAATTGATATATAATAATGAAAAGAAATGGCTGGATACGGTCTTTTCGTGGTGGGGATCTGGAGCAGGTTATATATCATGGAGTTAGCGTGAACGCATGGCTGGTCCTAGCAGATGCGTGATTAGTCTACGCATAAATTGACGCGCTACCCATGTTTCGACAATTAGTAAAATGATATCACAAGAGTGCGGGAAAGGGGTGACGTATCAGGAGAAGACGGGAGTGATATACGAACGACTTTTCATATCAACATGCGATGTCAGTACATACCCGCTAAGATGCCACATACCCATACACAAGTACCACCTCATACCCCATCACCCGTCGACCGCAACATT